TGTTAAGTTCTTGCTGTCAGATGACCCTGGTAATGAAGATGTCCATGTGCAGAAACCACTCTATAATTCTATTTTTGACTCAACATTCTTCCTTTTTCTCTGATAACAAGTGAATATCCAAAATAGCAAAAATATATATATATATACTGTACGCATTCGTGGAATATCGAGTTTCATGTCAGTCTTCATCTCTATTTTCTCACATTACCTGCCAAAGAAAGGGCGTAACCCTGTGCTCGCCCATCAGACTCTTGGTTGAAATGAAATGATGTCTTATTTGTTTATTAGCTACTACTGTGTCTGTATTATTCCAACCTGCTTGATAAATCCTGATGCTCGACGAAAGACCTGGTTGACACTATATATATAACAAATATACTGTAGATGACACTCAAATCTGTTATTACCTCTGCTAGTTCATTTGCTATTCTAACCTTATATTACAGACCATATTAAGTGGCATTGATTCGTTTTTTGTACGACATGTGTACGAGATTTTCAGAATTCTAGGAACCCTCTTCTTCTATCCAGCATCATAGTTTTCAAATGGTTTACATATCAGTTTACCTGCAAATGTCGACTGCTTGAATCTTATTTAAGTTTTTAGTTATTTAATTCAAATTAATTAATAAAAATAGTTTCCTAATGGATCAAGTTCGTGCAGGTTTAGTTTTTCCTTTTAAGTTGACAGTATTTTCTCATAAATATGCCTCCCTATGACGTCTTTGAAACACGAAAGGTAGTCTTTTGTTGCCGTTTGTTATTAACCACGAAGCTACACAAAGGGCTATCTGCCCTGCCCACCACGGGTATCGAAACCCGGTTTCTAGCAGTGTAAGTCCGCAGACCTGCTGCTGTGCCACTGGGGGGCCAGAAAGACAGGAGTTCAGAAGAACTTTGGTGAATTGTACCAATGCAAATACTTTCCAACAATTCAACAAATGATTCTTCTTCTCATAACTAAGAAAACTGTGCTTTGAAAGTTTTCTCTCATTATTTTCATACTTTCGCTCGGATAAGAACGCTACTGCAGTATAACATCTTACATAGGATTCAACTGTTTTTACAGATGTTTTTGTCGTGTTTCTATGCGAGCTCTTAAGAGATGTGGAACTGATGTGTATTCCACTGTAAAACTTGTAATATAGGCTCTTACGCTCATATATTCTTACTGAATCAACAGCAGACAAACGGAAAAGGGGTTTTGAGATGTAACTTTGTAGACTAAAGCACACAACATCAGACTAAGAACCTCTTAAAGCTCTGGCTATACGACAAAATTCTCCGAGGTTGTAATTTATAATATATATATATATATATATATAATAAAAATGTACTTGTTTTTGGCTTAGAATAAAACTTAATCATATTGCATTTAGAGACGTTTCTTTATAGAGTGGTCTTCAAAACATCACTTAAAAATTTATATTATCTACTTGAAATTTGTTGTCCATCAATCTTATATCTAAAGATTAATAATGACTGTTCTTTCTTAGTAAGCAAGACTTTGTTTGTAATAACAATTTTCTTAGCATACGCAGCTTGAAACTTGCAAATACAGACTTTATTTATGAAAAACGTTACACTAATTATAGTGAATTTGTGACATAGCGAATTCTTCTTTTATTTTATTATAGTTTTGTTTGCCGTTCTTTTATTATTCCTTCTATAGGTTACTACATCTATGAATTTTTAGTTATATTAAAGCGTTAACTCACCTTCTAGTTAGAGCATGTTAAATTTGTATATGTTTGTTTGTACTATGAAACTGATAAAAGCTTCCCTTAGCGGTGACGTACAGTAATTAATGTTGTGAAGAGTATGTAAATTAACTAGTCACATGAAAGTATCCTTGTGGTCTAACATTAAAAACAACCATGCCTTGATCTTAAACGAGTTAGTTTACGAGAGATAGTTTGAACGGATTATTGCTACTAGATATTGTTGTTGATTTTGAAGTGGTATAATTTTGGAATATTGTTTTGTTTTTCTCGGAATTAGATTTCTTCTTCCGGTTCTTTTTTTCTAACTCCTTTATTTTATGAAATTAATAACATTGATATTTATGTTATATTGTTTATTAACATTTATATCAAGTCCTGGCCAGGCGCGGATTTATTAACTTTTTTTTTGTAAGTAATTAATTTGTATTCAGTTATTTGTTGGATTTCTGTTGTTGTTACAGTTGAATAAACTGTTTTTGTTTTTTTTGTTGTTGTTGTAGTGGCGTTACGTCTTAGTCCGTTACAAATTCTATGATACTGACACAAGCTAAGTCCATGATAATGGCCTTTCAAATCTATAGAACTAGTCGTTATCAGAGTAATTTTGCTTAAGCTTATGATCCTTACTATCAACTTTTTATTAGTATTTGCAAGTAATTTTTTATATTTATATTCATTAAGAAAATATAGTTTGTTATCCGCATTTCATTGATTATGATACCTAACGTTCTTTCTCTGAAGTTTTGATTAGATATTTTGAAACTACGCTTTTCGCAACCACACTGTATTCAAGTGTCTACTATTAATTCACGATATAAATATTCTTCCGTTATATGCAAGTACAACTTAGCTGTTTCATTATATCTAATATACAATTTTGTATATTGTTACGACAGCGGTAGTCACGTGACGCTGGTAACACGTCATGATATTCTAGAAGGATCGGGGAACATCACGAATAATCCAATATGTGCTAGGCGCCCTCTATTCCTGTATATAAGTGCGCCTTATAACGTGAGACGAATTAATCGGAATTGAATTGCAGACAGGCAGAGACGGACAATCGAGTCAAGCGCGGTAGTGACCGTAAGTAAGTGCGTGAATTACTGTGAATTATAGCGTGTGTTTAAATTGACTGTGGAAATTAAGTGTATTGCAAAGTTGTATCCAGGGAAAAATAAACTAGTTTTATTTAAGAAAGGACCTGTATCGTTAAAGTTTCTTCGGAAAGAATTTTTACAGAAAATTAACAAAATACTAGAGACCTAACAATATTATATTGACTGTCTTTCTTGACCAAAATCAAGTTAGCTTTTTTTCATTGTTATAAACACTGAAAATATGGGTTTTCTTAGCTTAAGAATAATCCTGATTAGTTTGATACTTTTTTTGTCTCGTAACTAATTTTCAAAAAGGTGAAAATATAAGTTGTATTTCGTTCTTGAGACAAGCTTGTGACAAATGGCATTTGTTTTTCTAATATTTAAAAAACATAATATAAGAATATTTTTCTCACCATTACAAACTAGTATTGCTCCTTTTTCTTTTTTTGTAAATATAAAACTTGAAATTTACAAATTATTAATTTGCTTTAATAATTTTCAAACAATCAATCTGGGTGATCCATAAAACATAAGTTTAAAAAGGCTGTGTTGTATTAGAGCTTTCAAAATTCATTCTATTAAACAGTGGTAGCGTCAATTCTATATCAGATTTCTAGGTTACCTTTTCACACATATACTGAGTAGTCACAAGTAAATAGACACCCAATTCTTCGTCATTTAACTGATTTATGCTAACGAATTTGTGTTCACAGAGCACTATATAAATGAAAATGGTCCACACACTAATTATCTTGTGCTACAACATGCCTAAAACTCAAGGTTCTCTCGAATTGTCAGATTTTGTTAGAGGAAGGATAGTTGGTCAAGTAGATGGTGGAATAAGTCAGCGGCAAATTTCGCAGAATTTGGGTATCCCATATTCGACAGTCAACAGAATCATCGTGCAGAAACACGGCAAGGACACAAAT